TTGGCAGCTCCAATGAAGTTTTTTGCGATGTCGCAGTAGATGCGTTGGGGCAATCTACTCCGGGAAATAAACCCTCGAATGCAAGATAAGAAAGCATTAGTTGTAAACTCGGAAACTAGCTCGATGTTCGATGTGTGCTTTCGTTGCAAAGCAAACAATATGTATATATGTATATATGTATATATATTGACTTGCATCGTATTTTGTACGAGGTCAGGAAGGGCCCGCATAAATCAACTCCTGATACCAGGAACGGGCGTTTGCCGACAAGTCGATCTGGAGGGCGAGGCTTGTAGTGGAAGCAGTGAGTGCATTCCCGTACAACTTGACGCACTAACGCTCTGCCGTTGACGATTGTGCGTACGACTGAAGCTCAGATATCCAGTGAGATTCAAAAGTTGTCAGTTACGACGAGTGTTACCCAAGCCACTGTAGAACAGTCTTCGCATCGGTCCAAAAGTATACCTTTGAGATGTAAGGCTTGAGCTTGTTTTTAAGCTTTTGATATGTTCCACGGCTGCACAGAGCTCAAGCTTTGAGATCGACAAGGATTGAATTGGAGCGACTCTTGCCTTTGAAACTAATAAGCTGACTTTTATGACCCCATTGATTATACTGCGAACGTAAAGGCAACAGCCGTATCCACGTTTGAAGGCGTCCGCAAATCCGTGAAGCTCGCATTGATGTTGTGGTGAGGTTGAAACATATCGTGAAAGTTTCACTGTAAGTCATTCTTTGAGTTGTCCCAGACGATACCTAGATCGTCGGGAATTGCATCATCCCAAGAAAGTTTTCGGATAACTAAACTTTGAATGAACGTTTTGCAATTCATGAGAACGGGAGGGATAAGTACAAGCGATTCGACTAATCGTGATACTTCTGATAGGTCTAGTAGAAGTCGAAGAAAACTTGAATTTGAACTGAAAAATGAATACGTCGTCTGTTGGCTGCCATTCGAAACCAAACATTTTCGTTGAATTCAATTTCTCCAGCTGCATGGAAATTTTCCTGTCTGATGAATTACCTAGTGTGGGTTAATTACTGTTGAATTTTTCGGCATTTTTGAGACATCTTTCTGCTCTGTGGCCGTAACACACAATGGTGGGGAAAAAATAAATGGGGCTCTCTCTTGTCAACGTCGTTCACGGCTGACATGTTACCTGTTGTTATGATTCCATTAGGAACGGATTATTATTTAGCCTACGTTCAAGTAGGAAAAACTTTTGGCGGCGCTGTTATTATAATTTGCCTAATGTAACTGTAATGCGATTGTCTGATTCAATAGCAACTGTGTTCTCGAAATGTTGTTCACAAAGCTGTTCTCGTGATTTTAGAGTTGTGTGTACGTTGTAATTCATTTGTCTTGAGGTGTCAGAAATACGACTAATAGCTTGGCTGACGCGGCATTTCGGTAACTCCAGACGCTTCGCAGTCTCCTCCGTGATCAGGTTAAATTCCGAACCTGAATCTAATAACGCTCTGAATATCTGAAACAGTCCGTTTCCATCCTTAATGTGGACTACCGCTGTTGGTATGAGACTTCTCTTTGTGGTAAGTGGTAGTGCTTCTCTGTGGTACTCTTGACTGCACAGTTGCTGCTTGGCCTTGACGTGAAACGTTGAACGACCACAATGGATGCTACATGGCCTTGATTTGATCTTTCCTTCCGTTGAGCTAAGTTTAATTTAGCAAAGGCCTTGCAATAAGATATAGGTTAACACCAGCCAAGCGCCCGCTTCCCTTCAACCCTCTTGGCCCTTTCGGCTTTCGGGGCTACAATAATGCATCCGCCGAGACATGAGCCCGGCAGCAACGCAGCAGCAGATATACAACGACAGCTACGCCGCGACAGCGATGGAGAGACCAAACGGGAGAGCGACAGCGTAGCGACAGAACGACGGCGGCATTCTGCAGGAGGCAATTCTATTGCCGACGGGCAGTTTCAAAGGCGCCCTGCTAGGGGTATGCGGCGAGGCACTGAGGATCGTGCCCCTGACTCGGGAAGACGGCTTTGGATCTCAGCGAATAAAACCTTTATAACGTATTGAAGCGATCACTGTTTTATTTGTAACGTAACTCGTAGGTCAAGGCGGGAAGAAACGAGTCAACTAAGAACCAGGTACCAAAGGAACAACGATGGCAACTACTTTAACTAAGTACATAGGTGATATTTGGGAGAATAGTCCCTCTGGCCATGTCCGGCCATAACTTATATAATGAGTGACTGACTCACAGTAAACGCAGATAGCCGGTGTAGTGACAGATGTCTTCGATAGTAAACTTGGTGATGCTTTTGGCTTCCGACATCAATCACCTTGGCGGTTCTTGATTAAGATCCGTTGGCGACCTTCTAGGATTCCTACTGGAATCGATGTGTAAAGTTGAAAGATTGTTTCTCATCGTACTTGAGTCGAGTATTTTCACCCACCGTTGAAAGAACTAGGTTTATCAAGAAGTACAAGAATAAGAAGTCGGCTTTAGAAAATTGGTTAAAAATTTATTCGTAGAAGAGTACTTCAGTAAGAGTAGTACCTTAAGCCACGTTATGCAATCACACATCAATTTGAGTTTGAGCAGGTCAACCGGATAACAAGAAATACGTCCTGTTGCATAACTCGGTACTAAAACCTACATGGATAAACGGCTACCAGTTATTGGGGAATGCCAGCAATAGCAATCGTGTCCGTCTGTCCGTCCGTCTGTCGGTATGAAAGCTGAGATCTCAGAAAATATAAGAGATAGAAAGATGAGATTAAGCATGAAGATTCTTGAGGTCCCTACGCAGCGCAAGTTTTAGCTCCTGCAACGCCCACTCTAACGCCCACAAATCACGGGAAACTAAAATCTCTAGAACTAGACGGTTGTCGCATTTTCGAGAAAAGCTGATATATCGGTAACTATAAGTGATAGAAAGTTCGGATTAATGCAAAAATGGGGGAATTATAAGAGCTAGAAAGTTATACTATAAAGTTTGCTAGTGGAAATTCACAAAGTGCCACCTATTGTCAGAGAAAGCATGTTGAGTAACTGATAGTGACGTCTCTACCCATGTGAGGCCTTATAACCTACATTTCTTCATAAACACAGAAATAATAATCCGATTTGAAAAATCGTTGGTAAATCGATAGATATTGACCAAAATATTTTATACAAGGCCTAATCCGAATTTGCTATCACTTATAGTTATCGAGATATAAGCTTTTCTACAATATGCGAAAACCATTTTTCGAGCTTGGTAGGGGTAAGAGTGGGTGTGGCAGGATACCACCATAAGGTGCGCTGGCATCTAAAGATTAGACATACTGAATTTCAACTTTCTATTGATGTTCTATTTTTCCGTGATTTGTGGACGTCAGAGTGGGCGTGGCAGGCCCTGAAACTTTCGCTGCGTATGGACCTCAAGAATCTTCACGCTTAATCTCAACTTTGTATCTCATATAGTTCCTGAGATCTCAGCGTTCATACGGACAGGCGTATAGACGGATAGTCGAACAGACGGACAGAAGAACACACAATCCTGATCAAGTATATATATACTTTATAGGTTCGGAAACGAACCTATGTCGAGAGTTGCGCTATGTCGAGAGTTGCGACTCTGCGATACTCGTTCCTGTATTAGCCAATTTATAAATAATACTGTTGCTACCAAATACTGATTCTCAATAAAATTTTTCTGTCTCTACTTTTTGCAAAAACTATAAAATAAATATTCCAATTTGAAACTATAGGTGGAAAGAAAGAGGAAGAGGAAACGCTATAATCGAGTGCAGCGACTATATGATACCCGTTACTATTTTACACAATTTTAAAATATTCATTTTGCTAGTGGAAATTCCCTAAGCGCCACCTATTGACGGAGAAAGCATGTTGAGTAACTGATAGTGATTTCACTGACCATGCGAGGCCCTTTAACCCACATTTCTTAATAAATAGCGAAATAATGATCCGATTTGAAAAATCTCCTTTTCTTTTCGCATTTGGGGCATTATAAAAACCTACATGCTTAATTATCACGTATAGTTACAGAGATTTCAACTTTTCTAGAATATGAGAAAACCGTCTTTTGAACTTGGTGAGCGTAAGAGTGGGTGTGGCCAGATAATAGTACATCCATAAGATGCGCTGGCATCCCGAGATTATACGTACTGAATTTCAACTTTCTAGCTATAATAGTTCCCGAGATTTCAGCGATTTTAGTTTTTCGCGATAGGAGCTAGAAGGTTGGAATTCAGAAAGTATAATCTTTAGATGGCATCGCATCTTATAGTGGTACTAATATCCGGCCACACCCACCCATACGCCCACAAGGCTCAAAAGACGGTTTTCGGATTTTCTAGAAAAGCTGATATCTCGGTAACTATAAGAGATAGAACGTTCGGATTAAGCATGTAGGTTCCTATGATGCTCCCAATGCGAATTGTTTTTTCCGATCAAGCCACGCCCACTCTAACGCCCACAACACCCGAAAAACCAAAAATGCAAAAATCTCAAAAATTATAAGAGCTACAAAATTTTGCTTAGGAACACGTATTTAAGAGATGCCTCTGCAACTTCCCACGAAGTTGCATCTGGCCACGCCCACTCTAACGCCCACAAACTGCGGAAAACTGTGTTGTCTATAATATTATTATGAATGCCTTCGTTTGACGTTATATAACTTATTTCTGTTAATATCTATCGATTTACAAAAGATTTTTCAAATCGGAACATTATTTCGCTATTTATAAAGAATTTAAGGTTATAAGGCCTGACATTGGTAGTGACGTCACTATAAGCATATTCAACATACTTCGTCTGACAATAGGTGGCGCCTTGTGAATTTCCACTAGCAAAATAATATTTTAAAATTTTGTAAAACAGTAACGGGTATTTTATAGTAGCGGCACTCGACTATAGCGTTTCCTCTTGTTCTTCCTGTAAACCACTTTTCCGATATAAAGATATTCCAAATTATCAAATATATATACTTATAAAAATTAAATTACTTTACTTTTACTTACTTGTATGTTTAGTTCCAAATTTTTCCACTGGCAAAACCTAGTAAATTTATGGCTAAAAAAAATGAAAAATATATTATTAAAGCATTTTAATAAAGGAAATTAAGTTCATTCAACTACATTTTGAAACACTTCTCATGCCCTACCTAATTTGAAATATTGCGCCACTTAATGGGGTTCCTAATATGATTCTCTCGGACACTTGGCGTATTCTTAAGCACAACTTTCTACCTCTTTTAGTTCCCAAGATTTTCCTATTTTGCTTTTCCGGGTATTGTGGGCATTAGAGTGGGCGTGGCTAGATGCTGAAATAAACAGCGTATGGGAAACGCTATAATCGAGTGCAGCGACTATATGATACCCGTTACTATTTTACACAATTTTAAAATATTCATTTTGCTAGTGGAAATTCCCTAAGCGCCACCTATTGTCGGAGAAAGCATGTTGAGTAACTGATAGTGATTTCACTGACCATGCGAGGCCCTTTAACCCACATTTCTTAATAAATAGCGAAATAATGATCCGATTTGAAAAATCTCCTTTTCTTTTCGCATTTGGGGCATTATAAAAACCTACATGCTTAATTATCACGTATAGTTACAGAGATTTCAACTTTTCTAGAATATGAGAAAACCGTCTTTTGAACTTGGTGAGCGTAAGAGTGGGTGTGGCCAGATAATAGTACATCCATAAGATGCGCTGGCATCCCGAGATTATACGTACTGAATTTCAACTTTCTAGCTATAATAGTTCCCGAGATTTCAGCGATTTTAGTTTTTCGCGATAGGAGCTAGAAGGTTGGAATTCAGAAAGTATAATCTTTAGATGGCATCGCATCTTATAGTGGTACTAATATCCGGCCACACCCACCCATACGCCCACAAGGCTCAAAAGACGGTTTTCGGATTTTCTAGAAAAGCTGATATCTCGGTAACTATAAGAGATAGAACGTTCGGATTAAGCATGTAGGTTCCTATGATGCTCCCAATGCGAATTGTTTTTTCCGATCAAGCCACGCCCCAAAACATTCTCTGGAGTGACGAAACCAAAATAAATTTATTTGGAAATGATGCTAAAAGGAATGTTCACCGTCCGAAAGGCAAAGAATTTGATCCCAAGTACACCTGTAAGACTGTAAAACATGGAGGTGGTAGCCTAATGGTATGGGGCTGCTTTTCAAGGAATGGTGTTGGTCCGATTCATCGCATTGATGGAATAATAGACACATTCGTATACAGAGACTTATTGGCAGTGATGCTGCCATATGCTGAGGATAATATGCCAATTTTATGGAAGTTCCAGCAGGATAACGACCCAAAACACGCCTCTCTACTAGTCAGGGAGTGGTTTCGTGAGCAAAATGTGAATGTTCTTGAATGGCCGAGTCAATCCCCTGACCTTAATCCCATCGAAAATATCTGGGGTGAACTCAAAAGAGAGGTAGGAAAGTCTTCTTGTCAAAATACAAAACCAGCTTTGGGATATTGTCCAAAGAGCATGGTACTCCATCCCAATTGGAACTTGTCGCAAGCTGATATCATCCATGCCAAGACGAATGGAGAAAGTTCTCAAAAATAATGGCGAGTATACCGGCTACTAACTGCTACATACTCAACTTAATGTACAAATTATTTACTATTATTATTATTTACATTTACTTTAAACGTATAAATCCTTACACATATTATTGTGTCCAGCCAAAAATGTCCAACTTAGGAAAAAATCTACTTATGTTGTTAATGAAAAGGTTTATAGTATTGTTTCTTTTTTCTTTTAAAGACAATTAATATAAGTTTAAAAAAAACGTAGCTTTGAGCTAATTGGAGAAAGCATGTCTTAGAAATAAGAAGTTAAAAATGAAAAAAAAACACACCTATTATTTTGTCCATGAGTGTATACAGAAAGGGTATTCACAAAGCGCCATATATTGTCAAAGAAAGCATGTTGAGTTACTGATTGAGACGTCACTGCCCATGTGAGGCCGTATAACCTACATTTCTTTATAAATACCGAAATAATGTTCCGATTTGAAAAATCTTTGGTAAATAGATAGATATAAATTAGCAAAGTTGCAAAGCAAGCAAAAGTTTAATATTATAGAGTACTTACAAAATGCGCAAGTAAAAAGAGAGTGTATTACAAAAAAACAAAGCACAGATTTTAACAAATCTATTATAAAGTTTTTATATACATATTTATCTCAGTCAGTAGTAGCCAACGAAATTATTAAAATAGTAGATCTTGCCAACAAACCAATTCTATGTTTTTGAAGATTTTAATGCTAATAACTAATAATGAACTAATACCAAATAGAAGAAATCATAAACAAATTAATTTTAACTATACTCAATGACGGCTCCGCTATTCCACCCACAACTCCTTCACCACTATTAACCTTACATTAGCCTTCGCATCACTGTTCCATTTCTGTAAGTGGTCTGTGAAAGACTATCTATACGGAAGTGGTCACTTTCCGTTAATGACGCAAATTCAGTTCGGGCAAACCCAATAAAAACTCAACATTCCAAATATAAAATATTTAAAGCTATCACTATCAGCTACACTTCACTTCTCTTTTAACGCGAACAGTTGTGTTTTTGGCTTTTGCGTCTTCTCGAGCGATTTAATCTTTGAATTTATTCCCGAATCCCCTCGTTTTTGCTACTTTTTTGCAAACGTTTATCTACTTGAAAAAAACCGTCTTTCGATTCCGCGTAGTGCAGTGCATTTATTGTTATCTGTTTGCATAAAGCATTTATTGCAAACAAATATCAACAACTGTGGACTGTATTCTAACATATTTTTTTTACTTTACTTTGTGCTATTAGTAACGGAACTTTCGCCGCTTACCTCTCCAACACAACATCTGTAGATCTCTTTTCAATATCTTCCACCGGCTTGTAGCTCTCGAAAACACACTCTCTCTCCCTCTCTTATACAACTTGTACTCTCTTATAACGCCTCTCTCTCGCTAACACTCTCTCGCTTACTCTCTTGCCCCTAACTGTTTCTCTCAAACTCCCTTTCTTCTTCCCTATAATATTTTTCTGGCACAGTGGTTTACATTTTACTAATTATTTGCCAAAATGTCTGATATTATCTGTTGCATTAAAAAATGCAATAAAATTGTGTCGGTTGACCAAGTAAGCGTGCACTGTTGGCTGTGTGATAACATTGCGCACTCCAAGTATGCAGGGTTTAAGTCAACCACAATTCCGGATGCTTTGGATCGTTCCGACTTTGGCTTACACTACTGTTGTGACAGATGTCGTGAGGCCCAGATGGAAATTAGATCTTTTATGAGGCAGACTAAAAATGGGTTCGGTCAGGTATTGGTTGCTTTTCGAAAAGCTAACGACCTGTTTTCTGCGCTGGACACTCAGTTTAACAATTTACAACTGTTGAATGAGTCTCCTAAGCGCAAAAAAACGTCCCGTTTGCCGCCGGCGGTTACCGACAATAATGCAAATAACTCCCTTCTCCCGCCGTCTGATGTTCAACAGTCTCCTTCATTGTCACCGCTGCCGTCTACCACTCCAATCGTGACGACACCGGTAAAAGCCCATATTTCGAACTCCAGAAATTTTTAATTCTGAAGTTTCCCCCAGTAGGTACACAATATATAGGCTTGACCGATTCCTCGGAAATGGTGGTGGAGTCCTAATTTCAGTGGACTCTAATCTCGTTTCCGAGGTGATAAATCGGCAAACTGGAGACTTAGAATTTGTCACAGTAAAAATCTCATTGTCTAGGTTAAATTTATATATCACTTGCTCTTATATTCCGCCGAAGTCCGATTCCTTGACATATGAGCGGCACCTAGCAGCCATTCAGTCTGTCCTCTCAATGTTATCGAACATGGATCAGCTGGTGGTGTTGGGTGATTTCAACCTACCCCAGGTGGCTTGGTCCATGAACGATAACACCTTAATGTCGCATCACGACTTTACTGCTGGCATGTTAGACATGTCACTGGCTCAAATTAATCATATATGGAATTCTTTAGGTCTTTTTCTCGATCTGTGCTTCCTCTCTGATACAGACGCCATAAGTAGAGCTCCACCTCTCACACACCCTGAAGATCCTTATCAACATTAGGTCTTACGATCGATACGGGGCTATGCACTAGGCCTAAGAACAATTAAGCTGATAAGAAAATTCGATGTTTTCGTAAAGCCGACTTTAAAAAAATTAATAACTTTATTTCAGAATTTGACTGGTCCGATTTGTACACATGCACCGATATGTCGACTGCTCTAGATATATTTTATAGTAAATTAAACCTTATTTTTGGTCGCTTTGTTCCGGTGCGGTATCCGGCTATGGCGGATAAACCCCCTTGGTATACAAGGCACCTTTCTAATCTAAAAAATATCAAATTAAGATTATTTAAAAACTACTTAAGAACTAATAGCAATGACTGTTATGGTTTCCAAAATAAACTCCAGACGGATGTCATTTACACTGACTTCAATAAATCATTTGACTCCGTGAATCACGGCCTTCTTTTAGAAAAACTCGATCTAATCGGTTTTCGTACTGATCTCCTGGGTTGGATTAGCAGTTACCTCACAGGTAGAACGCAACGAGTTCTTTTTAAAAATTCAGTGTCTGCTTTAGTCTATTCTTCCTCCGGGGTCCCTCAGCGGAGCCACCTTGGTCCGTTACTTTTTACTTTATTCATTAACGACCTTCCCATGGTTGTTAATGACTCCCTAGTACTTATGTGTGCAGATGATGTCAAACTCTGTCTGCAATATACCGATGCCTCCTACCAGGTGAATCTGCAATCTGACCTTAATAATTTTCAAAACTGGTGCTCTGCAAACTTATTAAATCTTAATGGATCTAAATGCAAAGCAATGACCTTCTGTCGCCTAAGACCTAAAGATGCCATTTATACTTTGCATGGTGTAGCTCTGGAAAGAATTAGTGCAGTTGAAGATCTTGGCATCCTACTCTATGCAAAACTTAAGTTTTCCGACCATATTTCCTCTATGGTTAATAAAGCTAGAGGAGTTCTTGGTTTCTTTAAAAGGTGGTCGAAGGAATTTA